TTACATTTAATAACCTTTAAACACAAAAGTGTTTTTACGAAGGAGTTAAATATAGAATGACAAGACATATCTAGTCGGAAGAAGAAATCAGGAAGGAGTGCTGAAAGTGGATAAGACACACATTGAGGAAAGCATACCACAAGGCAAGCCCTCGCCTGGAATCTTCAAGGCTAAATGAAAAGAGGAGGACCAAGTAACACAATACTCTGAGAAATGGCAACAGACATGAAAAGAATCAACAAAAATTGGATAGAACTATAAAGGAAGGCCCAAGATAGAGTGGGTTGGAGAACTGCTGGTCGGCAGTCTATGCTCCATTGGGGATAACAGGCATAAGTAATTAAGGCATATCTAGTCGCAGGTACTAATTTACTTAGGTCGAACTCTATTATAACAAATTTTTTCAAACTCTGGAGATGTTTCCACTGTTCAGTTGGTACATTAACACATAGAATTATATGTGATAACCATTCTCACGAATATAGAGTACATAATTAATTGTTTAAATGACTTGAATTATTTCTTCTGGTTAGCGTTTTCTTAGCGAGTTAGTTTTCTACGGGATAGGGTTGCTAACCCCATGCCCGACCCTCCTCCTTTATCTGGGCTTCGAACCGGCAGTAGACCAAGAAGCTCTCCAGACAGAGTTAGTAACATGCGTAATTAATTAATTAATTAATTGTTTAAATCATTAAAAAAGTTACATTAACGTGATCGAAATTCAAATAGTTTGCTATTTATATTACAATATTGATTTTGATAAGCATGATATAACTGAGTAAACTTTTATGAATTATGTGCATTAAGCAACAATGTGATCAATCAAATTATAGATTATTTGAACTGAAATAATTTATTGTATTAAATCAGAATAGGATAACGAAATTGAATGGAATAATTTAGCTATCAATGACGAGAGTGTTACGTCAGTTTATTGATTTAGATAGCAATGAGTGGATTCATCGTGATCAATAAGCGATCAAAATGGTTCTTATTAAATTTAGCAGAAGCCATGGTAAGTAGAAGCCCTAAAGCTAAAATTCAAAGGATATGGAATCCTCAACTGGTTGGATAAGAAAGAAAAAGAAACACTTTGACATGCTTTCCATTCTTGTTTCCTTTTTTTTGTTTGTATTTCAGTGAATTACATTCAAAATCTAGTAGGTTTGACTTAAATAAAAATTTCACTCCAAACCTCCTTACTTACTTACTTACTTACTTACTTACTTACTTACTTACTTACTTACTTACTTACTTACTTACTTACTTACTTACTTACTTACTTACTTACTTACTTACTTACTTACTTACTTACTTACTTACTTACTTACTTACTTACTTACTTACTTACTTACTTACTTACTTACTTACTTACTTACTTACTTACTTACTTACTTACTTACTTACTTACTTACTTACTTACTTACTTACTTACTTACTTACTTACTTACTTACTTACTTACTTACTTACTTACTTACTTACTTACTTACTTACTTACTTACTTACTTACTTACTTACTTACTTACTTACTTACTTACTTACTTACTTACTTACTTACTTACTTACTTACTTACTTACTTACTTACTTACTTACTTACTTACTTACTTACTTACTTACTTACTTACTTACTTACTTACTTACTTACTTACTTACTTACTTACTTACTTACTTACTTACTTACTTACTTACTTACTTACTTACTTACTTACTTACTTACTTACTTACTTACTTACTTACTTACTTACTTACTTACTTACTTACTTACTTACTTACTTACTTACTTACTTACTTACTTACTTACTTACTTACTTACTTACTTACTTACTTACTTACTTACTTACTTACTTACTTACTTACTTACTTACTTACTTACTTACTTACTTACTTACTTACTTACTTACTTACTTACTTACTTACTTACTTACTTACTTACTTACTTACTTACTTACTTACTTACTTACTTACTTACTTACTTACTTACTTACTTACTTACTTACTTACTTACTTACTTACTTACTTACTTACTTACTTACTTACTTACTTACTTACTTACTTACTTACTTACTTACTTACTTACTTACTTACTTACTTACTTACTTACTTACTTACTTACTTACTTACTTACTTACTTACTTACTTACTTACTTACTTACTTACTTACTTACTTACTTACTTACTTACTTACTTACTTACTTACTTACTTACTTACTTACTTACTTACTTACTTACTTACTTACTTACTTACTTACTTACTTACTTACTTACTTACTTACTTACTTACTTACTTACTTACTTACTTACTTACTTACTTACTTACTTACTTACTTACTTACTTACTTACTTACTTACTTACTTACTTACTTACTTACTTACTTACTTACTTACTTACTTACTTACTTACTTACTTACTTACTTACTTACTTACTTACTTACTTACTTACTTACTTACTTACTTACTTACTTACTTACTTACTTACTTACTTACTTACTTACTTGCTTACTTACTTACTTACTTACTTACTTACTTACTTACTTACTTACTTACTTACTTACTTACTTACTTACTTACTTACTTACTTACTTACTTACTTACTTACTTACTTACTTACTTACTTACTTACTTACTTACTTACTTACTTACTTACTTACTTACTTACTTACTTACTTACTTACTTACTTACTTACTTACTTACTTACTTACTTACTTACTTACTTACTTACTTACTTACTTACTTACTTACTTACTTACTTACTTACTTACTTACTTACTTACTTACTTACTTACTTACTTACTTACTTACTTACTTACTTACTTACTTACTTACTTACTTACTTACTTACTTACTTACTTACTTACTTACTTACTTACTTACTTACTTACTTACTTACTTACTTACTTACTTACTTACTTACTTACTTACTTACTTACTTACTTACTTACTTACTTACTTACTTACTTACTTACTTACTTACTTACTTACTTACTTACTTACTTACTTACTTACTTACTTACTTACTTACTTACTTACTTACTTACTTACTTACTTACTTACTTACGCCTGTTTTTCCCAATGTAACATAGGCCCCTGACCAGCATTCTCCAATTCGCTCTGTCCTGGTTTGAACTTCTTTTAATGAATGAAATCGTATGTGAAATTCTATGTATGCTACTTATTCTTTTATAGCAAATTTCTAGTTTCATACACTATTTATTGGATAACAACACTACATTTAAATGGTTAACCATTACAGCATGTATTTTGAATATAATACTGTCCTCTTAAATGTGAATTCAGATTATGTATTTTTTTTCTTCTTCTAAATATTCATTATATTCTTTGCATATTCGGCAACCCGGTGATAAATGTTCTGTCAAAATGTTTTAATGAATAATTTCATTTTTTCAAATTATATACCGGTATTTGTTGTTGTTGTTGTTGAATGGGTACGTCTATGTTGTTGCAACAATATGATCGTGCATACAAATTAGGTGTGTATTGTGTAATCATTATCAGGACATATATAATTAACGTTATGAAATCAGACCGACTGTAGTTTTGTATCCTACTAGATGAGATACTTGAAGGTTATCGAGGGATAATTTTACTTGCAGTTATTTGTGAATACTGTTATTGGCGAGTCAAGGATAATAATGAAATAGGTGTCCAGTGATTAATGATCCTTCTAATCTTTTCATATAATGCTGAAGAATAGTTTCGAATTATGCTTAATCGTCATAAGAGGATCATACATTATCCAATATATCTACTAGTGACACTAAATATTTCATTTGACAATATAGATTTTTCTACAGATCAACAAATTATGTTACTTATAAAGTGACCATCATATGATACAACATCCCACTGTAAATTAACACTAAATAATTCAATGGTCTACACATTTTTGGTCATAGAGACGGTTATTATCAAAAAGGGGTTTTGTAGATATTATAGTAATTTAATAGTTGAGTTCGTGAGTTGATTAAAGCTAGACCACTATGGAAAACATGGAAGCACTGGACAGCCTTTTCGTCCTATTGTGGGACTCCTCAGCAGTATGCATCCACGATCCCGATTCGAACCCAGGATCTATCAGTCTCGCGCGTGAACGATTAACCTCTGGACAACTGAGCCGGCTCTCATCCAACAGTGTTAATGTCTAACTCCAACTAATCCACGAACTGAGCGACATATTCGCCATTGTCTTCAATCAGTTACTATCTCACAACAGACCCGGTTAAATGTCACTGATTACGTCTTATATTTAGAACTCCAGGAAATACCTATTAGAGACCGTCACTAGTGTGAATATGGTGATTATTATCAGAAAGAGGTTTTGTGGAGATTGCATTAATTTAATAGTTGAATTCATTAGTCAATTAAAGCTAGACCACCTGAAAATACCGCGAGCGGGATCGTGGATGAGCACTGTTGAGGAGTCCCACACTAGGATGAAACGACCGTCCAGTTCTTCCAGTTTTTCCATGGTGGTCTAGCTTCAATTGACTGACGAACTCACCTATTAAATATATATGATTGTCTGATTGTAAACCAGATGAATATGTACTCAAATATATCAGATTTTTTATTTTATTTTGTAAAATATATCTAAAAAATGTTTATTAATGAAGATTTATTCCTTATCATCAAAAGTTTTAAAAGTAAAACACTATGCCTTGCAACACATAGAATTTAAAGCAGTTCACGGTACATAGAAATAGTTTATGAACCATAAAACGTTTAATTTCACACTCATTGTCCCGATAATCCTTTACTTCATTCTATGTAGATAAACTGAGACCACTTTTCATTCTGACAATAATCAATACAAAGTTCATTATCTCTCTCTCTCTCTCTCTCTCCTACATGCACAAGTGTAATATGATTATAAAATCTGAGACCACTACTGGTAATCAGATAAGTGAATCAATTTAGTGCACAAAAATATTATGCTTACAAATAGATCACATGCTCTAATAATACTGTAGTGAATAAACACTCAGGTAGTGTAAAATATAAAAAAAGACTATGCATTAAATAATTCATTTGCAAATTTTCCATCAATTGTTCTTAACATTCTTCATGTTTCCTCCAATTCTCAATTTTGTTTATGTTTCCGCTTTTCTTTAGTTCAATCTCCTCAACCTTCTTTTGACTGATATTAAATGCTACTTGATTAGCATGCATCATACTCCTCCTCCTCCTTCTACTACTACTACTACTACTACTACTACTACCACTACTACTACTACTACTACTACTACTACCACTACTACTACTACTACTACTACTACCACTACTACTACTACTACTACTACTACTACTACTACTACTACTACTACTACTACTACTACTACTACTACTACTACTACTACTACTACTACTACTACTACTACTACTACTACTACTACTACTACTACTACTACTACTACTACTACTACTACTACTACTACTACTACTACTACTACTACTACTACTACTACTACTACTACTACTACTACTACTACTACTACTACTACTACTACTACTACTACTACTACTACTACTACTACTACTACAACTAACACTACTACTACTACTACTACTACTACTACTACTACAACTAACACTACTACTACTACTACTACTACTACTACTACTACTACTACAACTAACACTACTACTACTACTACTACTACTACTACTACTACTACTACTACTACTACTACTACTACTACTACTACTACTACTACTACTACTACTACTACTACTACCAAGAATGATAATAATATCAACTAATATTATTATTATTGTTATGTGCACCTAATTGATAGTTTACTTGTTCACTAACGAACTTACGTATTTACCTAAAAAATTACAATTATCATTATTATTACCATTACTATTAGCTGATTTATTTATTTTTAAATAGAGATCTGATTATTTCTACCGAAAAAAACGAACTTTATTTGCACTGTCAATCATAATTGGTTTTTTTTTATTTATTTTTAATTTATTTATTTATATCTCATCATCACTTAGAAATAAGCATATTGTTATGGTAACAAACTGTGTACACAAATACAGACATTTATGTATACACATATATCAATTATTGATTGATTATTTGATTAGGTGTTTACTTTATTGTTATTTCATTCATATTGATATTCTATCCAATCATTATCATCAACGTCATCATCATTATATCTTTCTTGCTTTTCTTTTTCTTCTTCTATCATAGCGATCAATATTTGACTGAACCGAACTAGAAAGCAAATAATAATAAGTATTATTATTATTATTATTATTTTATTGAATTGTACTACATAGAATTACAAATCTATGAGTAAATAAACAATCAATACAATTTTTGTGTTGTCAACGTTACTATATACATAATGAACTGAGGTTATGAACAATGTTATCACTGTTGAATAAGTTTTTTTGTTTCCAGTTCCACGATCTGAGATTTTACCAAGGATTTCTCGTAGAACTGATCACAGGATAGAAAATAATCTTAGATTTTAATTTATTCGTATCATTGATGTTACAGATTGAAAAATTGATCAGTCTCTTTTTGGTGATGTATGCATCCTTTGCGGATCACGTCAATAGTGCTATTAGATTATAGGTATTTTAAGTAAAGTTGGATTAAAGTTGACCCTATTGCACAAGCCAGTGACTATTTGAACTCAGTAGTTAGATAGATGACGTGTTGATTTTTGAAGCGAAAGGTACTGTGTTCGATTTTCGGTGTGAAGATTAACATTGGGTTGTAGACACATCCAGCTGATGAGTCCCAATTAGGATGGAATGTGTGCTCTGAATCTATTTCTAGCCACTATACAATTCTGCTAAAAGTGTCATGTTTTCTTAGTCTTTTTGTTCTGCTTTGAGCCTATAAACTTGTAACAATATATCAAACAAATTGTTTGTTGAGACATTTAAAAAAGAACAGATACTTTCTTCATGTTGCCTCTAATTCTGTCTACCAATTTACATACACATGCCGAAGCACATGCATTGGAAGTACAGAATGGAAAGTTAAAGGTTTTTTCTCCCAGCATGTTCCTAAAATATTGTGACTGAGATCAGCATTCCATCTTCTATCATTTACTTGATAGTGAACATGAAGTTGAGGTTTCAGAATCATTCGAAATTACTGACACACAAGTAACTTTGAACTCATTAGGTTTTGTCAAAGTCATAGACACTAAGAAGCTTAAATCTATTCTTTTTTTTTTTATCTAAAACAATGCTATTGTTACTCTTAGATTACCCTGGTGATCTCAATATACAATGTGTAGTTACGCAACATTTTGCGTACATATCTACAAAACAGTATGTAGGCATTCATAAATCATTCTTAAATCTTAGATTTTTAACTTAAATGTCGATCAAATATTGACTTACATGACCGTATTGTTATTTCATAAAAAAAGATTGTTTTCTTTGTCTAAAATACAACACAATTTTTCTATTCAGAAAACCACACACACACACAATCTTGTTGTTATGGTGTTAAAAAAGAAAGACAGGCAAATAGAACGTTGGTGATTATTTTCATAATCCTGACTAAATGCACTTAGTTCTCTATATCGATTTATTTCACATTGATTAAAAGCTTAAACTTGAATAAAATAGAGCTAATTATTTGAATTCATTAATGAGATTAATCGATAATTTACTGAATACAACCAAATGTTGTATGATCTTAGGAAGTGGCATAATTAATAAATATAATTCCAATAGTTGAGATCATGAGTCAATTGAAGCTAGACCATTATGGGACTCCTCAGCAGTACGTATCCACGATCCCGATTCGAACCCAGGGCCTATCTGTCTCTCGTGAACGCTAAATATCTAGACCACTGAGCTGGCCGGCATCCAGCAGTGTTAATGTCTAACTTCAACTAATCCACGAATTTGAGTGACACATCCACCATTGTGACAAAGGTAGAAAAAGTTTTAAAACAGTAATTATCTGCTATTCATATTCATTAGTAAATGTTTACGATCAATCTTGCTCCAATAGTATCTCTTTCCTTAGCCTAAAATACTTGATGTATGAATTCCGTTGTAATCACTTCTCGTTTCTTTAAAAGGATAGAGAGTATGTAAGAATGACCATGATGGTAATTTTACAGGTTTTCAGTAATTAACTTCGTGATAAGTTGTAAATTTTCTATGAAAATGGATAGTTATGAGTGGTTAACTAAAATGCATTATAAACAGGTAACATACTATATTTAGACAAATAGCATTCCAGCAATATGAACAGACCGCCAATGTAACACAGCTAATGAAATTAATCCTTAACTTATACACATCAAACATAAACTATTCATCTAACAAATTAGGAAACATGTACGTGCTATTTACAAAATTCATCACTGTTCTAAATAGTACATAATGTGACGACCTATCAATAATAGCATACATAAATACAACATTAAAGCACACGAAACCAGATGAAATACAAACTTCTTTATTCAATTTAGTATCTTCCATTAATCAATCTGTTCACAACCAACAGAATAGCCTAAAAGATATCACTTGTCTTCTTAAAAAAACTAGTTATTTTGCAATCAGTGTTATTAAAACAACTTCAAACAGTTTTTTTTTTCAAAAAGAATGGTTGCACCAATCTCCACAACCCTGTATAGATATTTACCATATGCTCACAAGTGACTAACTCCGAGAGGTAATACTCGGAGATCTAGTGCGAAGCCGTGACTAGTGGAGCTAATCCGTGTCGGGTGTGAGGCAGTTACCCACCAAAGAAAATTAAAGATGGTTGAGCAATATCGTGGATTGGTTGAAGTTAAACATTAACACCGTTGAATTTCAGCTCATTAGTCTAGAGTTTGATTGTTCGAGCACGAGATCGAAGGTGCTTATTTCGTAACCTCTGTACAGGATCGTGGATGCGCACTGCTGACGAGTTCCATATTAGGACGAAGCAGTCTCCCAGTGTTTCCAGATTTTCAGTGGTGGTCTAACATCGATCAATTCATCATTTCAATTAAAACTCAACAATCTCCATAACCTTGTACTGATAATCAAAAAATCAATCAAATATTCATTGAAAAGTGTTTACATTCTATATATATACATAAACCGGATGTACGAATTTAATATAAACAATATTGAATAAAACAAACTAAATTGATTATAAGATTAGGAAAATATTATTGTAAACAATAATTAATTCATTCAAATTTATTTATTCCAATTTAGACACAACAAACAAATGTAATAATCATAATAATAATATTTAATTACAACAGATTCTATTTTCAATTTTAAGAGACAATATAATTGTTTATAATAAAATGGATGGACAGTGGCGTAACTTCGTGGATTCGTTGAAGTTAGACATTAACACTGTTGGATGACGGTCGGCTCAGTGGTCTACTTGGTTACGCGATCGCACGCGAGACTGAAAGGCTCTGGGTTCGAATCTCGCGAGGTGGGATCGTGAATGCGCCTTGCTGAGGAGTCCCGTACTAGGACGAAAGGGCCGTCCAGTGCTTCTAGGTTTTCCAATGGTGTACTAACTTTAACTGACTTAAGGAATTTAACTTTTAAATCACAATTAATTATGTTTAAATATCTGGATGTATAGACTGTTCATGAATAAGCTGAATAATCAATAGAATAGTAACTTTGAACAATACAACAAACAATTCAACTGGTATACACATAATGCTAACACTAGAAATGTCAGGTTACTACAGATTACATCATTAGTGGTTTATATGGAAAGATAAAAACACATTGACAGATAGTGCTCGCAGAATAGAAAGTAGAGCAGTAAATGAGATCATTGTGACTGTGATGATTGGTTGGAGGTGAATATGATTCAGTGTAACAAGTAACATTAATTCACATGTATGATTGAACAGTTAATAGTAAGACTAGTCATGTTAAATAATTCTAACCATTGCTGATAGAATTTCACTTGGATCCTGGATGATTGTAGACTCAATCCATGGAATGTCTAGAATCTTCAGTGATTTAAGAGCGCAATTAACCAGTCTCATGTCGGTATATGTGCATCCTGTGCGGATCGCCTCGTTAAAGCCTTAAGTCATAAGCTTTTTAAGCAAAGATTTATATAGCTAGTAGTGGAATTCAGGACTCATCGATTGGATGTACCTGCATCCCAGAGTTGATGTTCACTCCGGGACTCGAACTCATATTTGAACTTGTGTGAAATGGCTAACATATATTCATCAATGTAACTAAAGAGAAAAAAAAAGATTTATCTGATATTTTCGTTTAATCTTTCGATGGATATTTTTCTGGAGAATATATATTGTGATAATCAATGTTTACTCCCAATACCTTTTTGCGTTAATTACTGTAAGCATAATAATTCGTATTTGTAAACTATAAAAAAAACAACAACATGAACTTCAAATGAAAACAACGACTGATTTTTCAGTGAATTTTTAAAAAAAAATGTACTTTTCAGACATAAACAGGGGTTGTTATATTATGTTGAATTCTTACACGATTATATATTTGTGGTTCAGAAGCCTTATTCAGTCAATTCAGTCAAATCCACCAAGTATTTTTGGTTTTTGGCTCTTTAAACTACTAGAAACGATGATTTCTGATTTTTTTATGGTTAAAGGTAATGATCAGGAAACCAGGTAATTAGGTTTCATTTAGATTGGCACTCATCAAAAAAACGTTAAACACACACATGGCAAATCACTTGCTACAAGATTACAAGGACACACTACTGAGGAATGACAACAAGCATGAACATAGATTCAATATTTTCTGTACATCATTGTCTACCATCTAACTCGGCCTAGAGTTCGTATAAGGTTATTGCTCGGTTTCAAGCACGTATAATGTAGAAACCATCCTATACAATATAATCTTGCTAAATATCCCTAAGCAGAATAAATCATTTTGATCATCTATATTCTGCACCCGGATTTAAAGAGTCTTCATTTGAAACAGTTATCATGCCTAGTTGTAAAAACCAACACATTTCACAAATCAAAAAACCGATTTCTCATCTGACAAACAGACCAACAATTATCATAGCTATATACAGAATGTCTGTATGATTTCCAAGACCAGAAAGATCATTCAAACAACTGTGGAAATGAAAAGATACAACCTGTCAGAACTTAGAATAAGTGAAACCCAACGGATGCTAACTGAACCGAAAAGATTAGCTTCACGAGAGTTACTGTTGTACTCTGATCACGAAGAGGAAATCGCCTCACACGAGAAATTGCACTAATCCTCACCAAAGAAGCACGACAACAGCTTATAGCACGAGGATCTCAGGCATCCAGAATCACAATAGCATCCTTCAAACCAAAGAACGAATGAATGACAGTAAGTGCCACTCAGAGCTAAAGGTGGCAGTGAAGATGATAAAGATCAGTTTTATAATGTGAGGCTCCAGTCGATGATAGGAAGTTGTTGAGGAAAGGGTATAATCATTCTAATGTAAATCTATATGTTTTCAACAAAATGGTTATCGGTGGCATCATATTCCTCCACAAACGCATAAATAATGCTATATAAGCTTCATCGGAACTCACTACTCAGTACTAAGTTGATAACACTTGCATCCATTGAAAGTTCAGATGGTCAGTAGGACACATGAACACAAAGAGAGAAGCTGACATAGCTTCAACTCACCGTCTGTTGATGGCTGATACAGGGTCGACACTTAAGGAGCACAGAACAATTGGAGAAACAGCACCACAATGTTTGATGCACACTTTCTTCGAGAAACTGACAAACTCAACAATCTCAAGATAGCTCTCAACAAGGATTTACAAACTTCACAAAGATTTGAGCAGGAGGAGGAGGAGGAGAAGAACAAGCAACAACGGACTAGAAACAAGAATAACTCATCAACATATCATGGAGTAAAGATCACAGTTAGCGTGAGAACGACAGAGCCAACACACTAATATCACTGCTAGAAAAACTTCCCAACCGAGTGTTGCTTACCTAAATGAAAGATCCAATAGATACACAACTTCCACATCAACAGGGGGCATTCCGCAAGGATAGATCTTGTACCGACCAACCTACAACATTCCTGACCATTGTTGAACAGTCAAATGAATGGAACACATCACTAAACAACAGATTCTCTGATTGTGAGAAAGCACTCGATAGAGTGGATAGAGAATATTTGGAAATCTTACTCAACAATATGGAGTATCGGGGAATATCGTCATTATCACACAGAACTCGTGTGACAGAAATGACTGTAAATGGAAGACAGCTGACAAATGCATTCCGAAGGAATAATAGTTTGTGTCGTGTAAGGCTGTCCACTCTCGACCTTTCTACTCCTCTCAGTTATTGACTGGATTATGTTGACCATCATATCTCAGGTGACTCATGGAATTCAGTGCAGATGCTGAACGCATTTCGACTTCTCAAATGATCTTCACTTCCTATCCCATACACATACAATAACAAATTCAGGTGAATACAGACAGTGTGGCAGCAGTCTCTACAATAGTAGACCTCAACATACATAAAGGAAAATGCAACATCCCAGTACACTGCACAGTCATCTGCCAATGAAATAACACATGGTGATGAAAATGTAGGAGAATAGGAAAACTACTCGTCTGGACAGCACCACTGAAAATGTACTGGTATATATAAACAACTGTGAACGGAAGATACCCATATCCATTGACCAGACATCATCAACAACAACCTACAGTTTCAGAGGACGAACCAGATGTGACTTGGGTAGGTTATTAGAAAAATATGCTGTCAATAGATAGTATACACGTACGATAACCTTTAAGCATAATCACAAAGCAAGCAGTTACATGGAATCCTGAATGGAAAGAGAAGAAATGCCGACCAAAGTACACATTGTATTGGAAATTGAAGGCATGATATAATAAACGAATATCCGCTGGCGACAACTGGAAAACAGAGTTGATCTGTGAGTTAGTTTGTGTATCCTGATCGGTGACCTATGCTCTACGAGTGTAACAGTCGTACGTTCTTAATTTTCGACCATATATCATCAAAATACAGTCAATAGTATGTCAAGTCACTTAGACTAACGGACACAATGTTACTCAATCGATAAAATTCCATAAGCAATTAAGAACTAGATAAACATGCATTTTTTCTTTACTAACAGACCTATCATCATTCTATAGGTATTAATGACAAAGTTGAACTTGATAGCATTGGATGGAAAGATAATAAAGAATAGTAAAATTGCATTTCTGATGTTTCGTAACTTAGTGTAAGCCACTTCTTCTGAATAAATAAATAACCGAATTACATTAACACAATTTTAAATAGTATTTATT